CTCCAGCGAGGATCGGTAGGATGGTAGGTTTGAAGCTTGTATTGGATTGGAAAGGTACTAGAAGTAGAATCTGTAAATTACTCAAAAAGTGTAATCCTTTCTACACAAAGTGAGTGAATTTAGTTTTATCGCCACTTTTAGCAATATTCCAGCAACATCACGGCGGGGAACACCAGAAATAGGCTTCACACGTTGTACCCATGTGGGGAATCGAACCCGGGTCTTCAGCGTGACGAGTGAACACATTAACCACTAGACTACCCCACTGCCCTATCTACACAAAGGAATCATTTGGAAATAATATCAATATCACACTTCTGACCAGTTGGAATGTTACAACAGTGCTACAACAGTAAGCAAGACAGTATATGGCTTGATCTGTACATCTCCCAGCTGCATCCATCATCTTGTGGATGGAGCGTCTTCCTGGAGAACAGATGTACATCTATGCTTTGTCTCAGAATATATATAATTTTGACAGAAACTATTAATTAAATTCCTTTTAAATTAAAAAGGAGTCTCAATGGGATGGGAGATGAGGAAATCCTTGACTAACATTTATTCTCTGAAATGAACATATTTTACAACAAAAAACAATTCCTAAATTATAATAATAAAATATAATTAAAAGGAGCCCAGAGACTTTCTTCATTTCCTGAAACTGTGGAAATCTAGACTTGTCACATAATTTAGACCTGCATGAACTTTCTTGGATATGTTTGTTTCAGCATCTGTATGGCAGACTAAGGGAATCTACACTTGCTTCATTGAGGGCTTTAGCACTCCAGAAAGGTCTGGGTGAAAGGGGAAATAATGTGGTTCAGGGACTGTGAGAGAGACTAGCATCACACCAAAAGATGTGAAAAGATGGTGTTTGTTGTCACCTTGCTAGGCTGTATTAAGGAACACTCACTCATTCGCTCACACAAAACACACTCACTCACACACTCACTCACACAAAACACACTCACTCACACAAAACCCACTGTTCGATCCCCGGTCGCGTTATACCAAAAGACGTTAAAATATGGTACTTGTTGGTCCCTGCCTGGCTCTCGGCATTAATGCGTACAACAAGGACTGGTCGGCTCGGAGTCAGTATAATGTGTCTGAGTGGGGTATTCATGCTTCACTGCGGCATGGTATCTCAGTGGGCTAGCACTCTAAAACCAGCTTAAGTCTGGGCTAGTACAAGCAGCCACACATACACATACACACGCAAGCATGTCGTCATATGAGCGAAATATTCTCAAGTACGACCCAATTTCACCTCACCTCACCTCACAAAACCCACTCACTCACTCACTCAAAAGAAACAAACAAAGACACATGCACATTGCACTGAAGGTGCAATAATCTCAAACATCACATTTTGACCCTGAACATAAATATATATAAAGGGGGGGACCTCAAGTTTGATCCCCGATTTAGCACAAGAACGGTAAAATCCTAAAATAATGTTTATCCTTAACACCTGACAGATAAAACTGACCTTAAATATTTTTCCCTCCCTTGTAGAAGGCACCGTAATGATCTCAATACTTGCCATGTAAACGAGGTGCAACTGTTGACCAATGATAGAGACGATGTTTGTGTATTTACATGTTGATCTTCAGCATTGATGTACATAGCCGCTCTGTTTGTCACAGGTTGTTGGGATCAGGGCATATTTGGTGGACATGCCTTTGAAATTGACAGCCAGGTGCAATGTCGATTTCAGACAAGATGTATATTTTCGATGTACATTTCACATATCATGTACTTGTTTGTTTTAACAAGATGAAATCCTGCATGTCTTTAGGTCAGTCTCTTCCTTTAATCATTCCAGAAATAATCGAGGTATTTGTGTAAGAAAATGCCGTGTTGCAACAAACCACCTTGACAGTATGTATGGCATTTATCTCTAAAGAAAAGAATTAGATAAAAATGAATCAGGTGTTAATTTGTGAAATGTGACACCTTTGATGAAGATAAGATTACAGACTGGATGGTATTTCAAGCAGCCACACAAAGCAGTAGGGCAGCCATGTTTCAGGGTTGTAAATGGGCCATGACTCCTTTAGCTATTACAAACTCTGCTGGATGACAGGATGTTCATTGCAGATGGCAAACGAACCACATTACTTTAATTAATTCCCCTAATTACAAAAACCTGCTGCAATGTTTTTATTGTTGCTTGATAATTTGATGATGTGTCTTACATGTTACACAAAATTGGTGGAGAGTTTTCTACTTTACTTATGTACCACTTATGTTAAATTAGTAATGAGGAGAATAATTTAAGGCTAAGAAACTAAAGAAGGATGTTATCTTATTGCTCCAACTTCTAAATGTCTCTCAAAGAAGGCTTAGAAATGTTTAGGAGCATTTTGGGTGTATGACTTTTCTTAATTTTTAGATTTGAGTATTAATGGGAATCTGATGCAAAAAAAATTTGGCATTCTGAACTGATGCTTTTGAAATGTCCTTGCTTTGATTACTCCATAACATAATTACTATTTGATACCCAGAAATATCATTGGAACCAGTTCTACCTAAATGTTTCGATTTTATGCCATCTTTCCAGCTTTATCAAAACATGTCAGGTTGATTTGGGTGAAAGGTCCTTAGTCAGGGATTTACCTTGAGTCCTGTATTTGAGGGTCACTGGGACTCATGCTTAGATTATTCTGGGGTCCTGGACAACACAATGGGGTCCCAGACACTTAAATATTATTATTAATACCATGTTGCAATGTTGTTGTAATTCAGTTACTGTTATTGTATTGTGTATCATGATCATCACATTGTTACAGTAATTAAATTGCAAATGATACCATAACCCGGCTATTAGCAGACTCAGTCATAACTTATTGTTACTTGATCGACATTAAAAAAAAATTATTTGGACTTTTTCTGTGTCCCTGTGGGCGCGCTAATTAATTTTGTTGTGTCCGTTGTAAATTTTTATGCATATAAGATGCAGGAATTCGCATCTTGTAAATCCCTGGTTCTTAGTGATGCAGGCCTCTGATGTTCACCACTCTTGTGAAACCAATAAGCGTGGGTATGGTGCAGACAAAGCTGAAACACAATTGGTATGATCCGAGAATCAAACCCACCATTACTATGAGGTTCCTGTTATGTCCAAGATGTGTAACTCTGTTCAGCAAATTGCAGTGTCTCGGACAACTTTGCCACCCTTGACTCCATTCTGCAAATGCTGAACTTTATTGAAAGTTTCTCTGTGAAGAAAAGTGATTCTCAAGAAAAAATCCAGATAATTTCTTGACTTAAAACTTTTTACAGCTGATCAGATTGCTGTGCACTCTCCAGTTTATTTTACAATTATTGTTACAACTTTTAAAACTGCATCTCCAATCTTCAAGTACTGACAGAATGCTTCAAGTGTTCAAGGACAGTTAAATGACAATAATCAGCACAAAAAAGGTTTGAAATGAAGATCCTTGATTTGAAATGTAACCAATTTGAAATGGCTCCATGTTGGGTTCAGTATGACGCCAGACAGATCGGGAGGATCACACATGCAGTCTCACCTGTCACTTTACCAGCACATCAGTTACAACTCTGTTATATATAGCAGGTAATGATGTATAGTAATCACATAGTTCTGATGGGGCTTCAGACACTGGTGGATGTATCAGCTGATTGATGTTTGTCTCTTAGTTTATTGGCACATTAGTCAGTTGGATATCAGTGTTATTAAGTGGTGTGTGTTTCACGAGGAGATCTACTACTGTGAAATGTAGTATATGTGATATGTATGTAATTGATGGGGTCAAGCTATTTGTGGAGAGGGTGAAGCACGTTTCTAATTGACTTGAAGATCTGTGTTACAGGTGGGTGTTGTGTATGTATTGGCTCTCTAAATATTGATTCTTTTATCAAGGGCAGTATGGATAATGATCAGCAACATGGATTATGATGATTGTTATGTGATAAGCAACATGGATTATGATGATTATTGATTATTATGAATAATGATCAGCAACATGGATTATGATGATTGTTATGTGATAAGCAACATGGATTATGATGATTATTGATTATTATGAATAATGATCAGCAACATGGATTATGATGATTATTGATTATTATGAATGATTATTGATTATTATGAATAATGATCAGCAACATGGATTATGATGATTATTGATTATTATGAATAATGATCAGCAACATGGATTATGATGATTGTTATGTGATAAGCAACATGGATTATGATGATTGTTATGTGATAAGCAACATGGATTATGATGATTATTGATTATTATGAATAATGATCAGCAACATGGATTATGATGATTATTAAGTGATAAGCAACATGGATTATGATGATTATTATGTGATCAGCAACATGGGATTATGATGATTGTTATGATGATAAGCAACATGGATTTATGATGATTGATCAGCAACATGGATTATGATGATTGATAAGATCAGCAACATGGATTATGATGATTGTTATGTGATAAGCAACATGGATTATGATGATTATTGATTATTATGAATAATGATCATTATGATGATTGTGGATTATGATGATTATTGATTATGTGGATTATGATGATAATTATGATAATGATCAAACATGGACATGGATTATGATGATTGTTATGTGATAAGCAACATGGATTATGATGATTGTTATGAATGATTGATGATTATGGATATTGATGAATAATGATTGATTATTATGAATAATGATCAGGGATTATGATTTATTATGAATAATGATGGATTATGATGATTATTGATTATGGATAACGATGACAGATTATCAGGGGCTGCTGTGATTTTGCAAGAATGTGAGCAACATATGTCAATTACTCAGTGTCCTGTCATTTGTGTCAGCAAACTGAATGTCCAGGGTCTGATGAACACGAAGCTTCAGCTTGTGAAATCCTGTACAGACAGCTATCAACAAAATAGTATTCTGTCAAAATATACATGTATGGCAATTAGCTCTATCTTATGTATCTGTCTGACATGTATACTATCTGACAATGGTTATGTGACAAGCTACTGATGACAGTCTTATGTTATGATCCTGTAAATGCCAGTGTTTGCCGGCTTGGTTGATGCATGTTACCATGGAAATGAGTAGATTGATGTTCATGATGTCACTCACTAGTGGTCTGGATCAGACTTCATTATTTACAGACCGCCACCACTCAGCTGGAATATTGTGTAGCTTTAAACACCATTCAACAAAACCAAAGGTTGATCAACGGACATGTGTTTGGTTATAGAAGTGGGCAACTGGCCAATCAGATGGCTGAAGTTTTTAACGAGTAATGGTAATAGGTCTGACTTTGACATAAAACAACCCTATATCTTACACTTGAACACATCTGCACTATCAGCTCTAGACTTACGTTTCGTCCCTGAATATATATAATTTTGATAGTAACAAATAAACCCATTTAAATTGAAAAGGAGCCCCGATGAGATGGAAAATACCTGAGGAAATCTAGACTTGCTTCATTATAGGGCTTTAGCATTGCAGGGTGGGCTGGGCAGAAGGGAATATAATGTGGTTCAGGGATTGCGAGACTGACTACATCAACTCGAAAGGGTTTATCAATGATAAGCTTACTGCTTGCTAACATTTACACCAGCCTCTGAAGGCTACACACATGGAGGAATGTGTCTACATGGTTGCAGCCAAATGTTAGATGTACTCCGTGTAGCCCACAGCGGTCATGACTTCAACATCTCTGAATCACCCATAAGTTTATGAGCCTGTGATCATGTTTTCGTGGCATATGACATCACCTTACCAACTGGTTTATGACCATACCAATATGGCGCCTATAACAGTAAATGTCAGTATTAAAACACCAGCTTGTTGAGGAATCAGTAGCTGGTTATATAGCCAGTGGAGTGATTCTGCATTGATGGTCTTTTCGTGTGTGAAGCTTAGTAGAGTGAGTGAGTGAGTTTGGTTTTACAATGCTTTTGCCATTATTCTAGCAATATCACAGCAGGGGACACCAGAAATGGGCTTCACAGATTGTACCCATGTGGGGAATCGAACCCGTGTCTTCGGCGTGACGAGCGAACGCTTTAACCACTAGACTACCCCACTGCCCCCTTAGTGGGGCAATGGGGTAGACAGCTAGTTACAATCTTGACATATCATGGATCTGGGATCGATCCCCACATGGGTAAAATGTATAAAACCAATTCCTGTTGTACCCAGTGTGATATTGCTGGAATGTGAAAATAAGCATAAAACCATATGCCTCACTCACTCATTTGAGAGTATAGACCAGTTGTATTCTGTTTTGTCGGTGTTTAAGGACCAAAATCATTAGATATACATGACATATGATTAGTGATCTGGAGAAAAAGTATATGATTATCAATTAACTTTTTCCATACTTAACAATGATTTTCTTAATTAGTGTTTTAATTAATCTTTCATAGTATAATTAATTTACTTATTTCTTTGAGGAAACATGGTTAAAGATAATTTTATTTTGAAATGCATTTTTTTCCCAGAAAACATCAGGTAACAAGCTGTTGCAAAACTGATGTTAAATTGATTGTGTTTATGTTAACAGCATTTAAATCATGGTGTTGATAACACTTGAAACCATATGTGTGGCAAGTTTTCCTGCTAGTCAGTCAGTTTCTGTGCTTGAATAAATATTTACTGTTGAAATTTTATTCACAATGTCAAGCCAAATAATAAGGTTTCATTTTCCAATTTCCAAATAATGAACACTTATTTCATCTCTGCACGCTACTAGAGGTTGATCTTTGATATTTGAAAATGTAGAAATCATCGATTGCCTCATTTATCAAAGCTTGTCCGAATTGTAATCTTAGGAACTTGAAACTCCGACTGCTTGTCTTAGAATGACATGTGCATGTTTGTTGAAATAGCCCAGGATCAGGCCCATTTCATGTGTCAATCACTTTCACATGCCCTGAGTGGTAAAACCAACATGACCCCTAAGTACCAAACACTGTTGTCCATTTCAGAATGACAGTTTCATAAGGAAGGATATATATTGTATGTCACGTTAATTTCTTTCTGAAATTGACAGCAAGGATATGTCATTGTCCACATGTCATCTAGGCATGTGCTTGAGTCCAGGTGGAAGAATGGTGTTCATTTCATCGTCAATTTCGATTGATGGACAGGAGCATATTGCTCTATTAGTGTACATGGCAGAGTTAGTTAAGGAAGACCGTCATGGTCTGGTTCTCGGTAGATGGGCCTTGAGGGATTCATATTGTCAACACAGGTGCTGAGAAGGGATTCAACTGCTATTTGTGATGTCATGAGGGCATGTGGTGTCTTGACTGCAAGGCAGGTAACTCACACAGCAACTCAGAGCTTACTTACCTGGGAGCACTGTTAATTCAACGACTGTTACAGAATGTATATATCACTCATCAGTGACTGTCGATCTCAACGATATGATACGACATACAGTGGAACATGATTGTTTGATAGCTCATCCAGGTAGGACATAGGTAGGTAGCGCAGCAAATTTTGATTGCTTAACATCACTGGGCTCCAGATAAGGGTCGTATCGGCGTATGTACGGATAAAACATATGCAAGATACGGTAGAAATAATTTAGAAAGTGTAACAGATACGCGCCACAGCAATGGTGTACGGTCTTAGAATCATTTACAGACATATTTATCTGAAAAAAGTATTGTTTTATTGTTTATTGACCTGTTTACACAAGAGTAGCAATGTTGTGGTGCATATATGAAACGAAGATTACTGATACTCCATTAAATTCCATTCAGTACTCTAAATGTACTCTTATTGTTTTCCAGTACTCCTATATTGAAAAAATAAGGAGTATGTACTCCTGATCATGAAAAATTATCTGGAGCCCTGTTAACATAATATAATGCACCACTGCTAGCTTCTAGAAGTAGAATATTGATGTGTAAGGTACCAATAGACTTTAAGGATGATATATTTTGGGAAAGAGATTTATGTATAGTTTCACATATTTATTACCTGAATTACTTTTTGAATTTATCAAGAGATTCATATTTAGTTCCACATATTATTACCTGAAACACCCTATGAATTTATTAAGAGATTCATATAGAGTTCCCCACATAATACAATAAGGAAAATTCACATTAAGTTAAGTTTGTTTATATCCCACTGTACAAATTTTGGGATTATCTTCAAGCCTAAGTGTAGTTTAGTTTTCAGTTTATCTTTATTTACTTATTTGAGTCCAATTTTTCTATAACTGTTTCATGTTATGTAATGGATTCTGTGATTTATGCTGACCATTTATTAGAATATGATGGCTAGTCAACCCATGTTTGATTCTGTGAGGACTCCCTGGCTGTTTGGGTGTGGTCTGCTCCAGGTTGTGGTATGCTCCACGGGCATGGTCTGTTCACTTTCTATGGGTTGTCTTGTCCAGAATTTACAGGAATCCAAGGGAATCATTCCTTACATTCACTCATTCAAATGTCTTAGGACAATTAGGACAATTTTCCAAGTTGTGTGTAAATTTTGATAAGCTGTTCTCTACTATTACAAAAACTGAAAAAATATCCAAGGATATTATCAGGAACATTCAGTGTCCTAGAAAATGAACCTATAGGAAAGCCTGCGTTTATGTGCTGTGTCACGCTGTTGAAACACTCCCTGTGATGACATAGGACATTATGCTAAACATCTTCCTGGTACATCCTGAACCCCCACGTTCAAACACACATAAACACACTGAATCCCCACTTGATAACACCCATTAACACCCTGAAGCCCCACTTGATAACATCCATTAACACCCTGAAACCCCATTTGATAACACCCATTTAACAACTTGAAATCCCACTTGAATAACAACCATTAATATCTTGAATCCCCTCTTGATAACACCCATTAACACACTGAATCCCCACTTGAATAACATCCATTACCATCCTGAAACCCCACTTAAATAACATCCATTAACATCCTGAATCCCCACTTGATAACACTCATTAACACCCTGTATCCCCACTTGATAATACTCATTTAACAACTTGAAATCCCACTTGATAATACTCATTTAACAACTTGAAATCCCACTTGAATAACATAATTAACATCCTAAATCCCCACTTGATAACACTCATTAACACCCTGAATCCCCACTTGATAACACTCATTAACATCCTGAATCCCCACTTGATAACACTCATTAACACCCTGAATCCCCACTTGATAACACTCATTAACACCCTGAATCCCCACTTGATAACACTCATTAACATCCTGAATCCCACTTGATAATACTCATTAACACCCTGAATACCCACTTGATAACACTCATTAACATCCTGAATCCCCTTGATAACATCCATTAACACCCTGAATCCCCACTTGATAACACTCATTAACATCCTGAATCCCCACTCTTGATAACACTCATTAACACCCTGAATCCCCACTTGATAACACCCATTAACATCCTGAATCCCCACTTGATAACACTCATTAACACCCTGAATCCCCACTTGATAATACTCATTTAACAACTTGAAATCCCACTTAAATAACATAATTAACATCCTAAATCCCCACTTGATAACACTCATTAACACCCTGAATCCCCACTTGATAACACTCATTAACATCCTGAATCCCCACTTGATAACACTCATTAACGGCCTGAATCCCCACTTGATAATACTCATTTAACAACTTGAAATCCCACTTGAATAGCATAATTAACATCCTAAATCCCCACTTGATAACACTCATTAACACCCTGAATCCCCACTTGATAACACTCATTAACATCCTGAATCCCCACTTGATAAATAACACTCATTAACACCTCTGAATCCCCACTTGATAACACTCATTAACACCCTGAATCCCCACTTGATAACACTCATTAACATCCTGAATCCCCACTTGATAACACTCATTAACACCCTGAATCCCCACTTGATAACACTCATTAACACCCTGAATCCCCACTTGATAACACTCATTAACATCCTGAATCCCCACTTGATAACACTCATTAACACCCTGAATCCCCACTTGATAATACTCATTTAACAACTTGAAACCCCACTTGATAATACTCATTTAACAACTTGAAACCCCACTTGATAATACTCATTTAACAACTTGAAACCCCACTTGATAATACTCATTTAACAACTTGAAATCCCACTTGAATAACATAATTAACATCCTAAATCCCCACTTGATAACACTCATTAACACCCTGAATCCCCACTTGATAATACTCATTTAACAACTTGAAACCCCACTTGATAATACTCATTTAACAACTTGAAACCCCACTTGATAATACTCATTTAACAACTTGAAACCCCACTTGATAATACTCATTTAACAACTTGAAATCCCACTTGAATAACATCATTAACATCCTGAATCCCCACTTGATAACACTCATTAACACCCTGAATCCCCACTTGATAACACTCATTAACACCCTGAATCCCCACTTGATAACACTCATTAACATCCTGAATCCCCACTTGATAACACTCCATTAACACCCTGAATCCCCACTTGATAATACTCACCCCACTTGATAATACTCATTTAACAACTTGAAACCCCACTTGATAATACTCATTTAACAACTTGAAACCCCACTTGATAATACTCATTTAACAACTTGAAATCCCACTTGAATAACATAATTAACATCCTAAATCCCCACTTGATAACACTCATTAACACCCTGAATCCCCACTTGATAACACTCATTAACACCCTGAAACCCCACTTGATAATACTCATTTAACAACTTGAAACCCCACTTGATAATACTCATTTAACAACTTGAAACCCCACTTGATAATACTCATTTAACAACTTGAAACCCCACTTGATAATACTCATTTAACAACTTGAAATCCCACTTGAATAACATAATTAACATCCTAAATCCCCACTTGATAACACTCATTAACACCCTGAATCCCCACTTGATAATACTCATTTAACAACTTGAAACCCCACTTGATAATACTCATTTAACAACTTGAAACCCCACTTGATAATACTCATTTAACAACTTGAAACCCCACTTGATAATACTCATTTAACAACTTGAAATCCCACTTGAATAACATCATTAACATCCTGAATCCCCACTTGATAACACTCATTAACACCCTGAATCCCCACTTGATAACACTCATTAACACCCTGAATCCCCACTTGATAACACTCATTAACACCCTGAATCCCCACTTGATAATACTCATTTAACTTGAAACCCCACTTGATAATACTCATTTAACAACTTGAAACCCCACTTGATAATACTCATTTAACAACTTGAAATCCCACTTGAATAACATAATTAACATCCTAAATCCCCACTTGATAACACTCATTAACACCCTGAATCCCCACTTGATAACACTCATTTAACAACTTGAAATCCCACTTGAATAACATCATTAACATCCTGAATCCCCACTTGATAACATCCATTAATGCCCTGAACCCCAACTGAAAACACCTATTAAGCCATGAATCCCTTCTTGAATAACACCCATTCATGCACTGAATCCCAACTTGAAAACACCATGATTCCACACTTGAATAACACCCATTAACACCTGAATCAACACTTGAATAACACCCATTAACACCTGAATCAACACTTGAATAACATCCATTAAACCCTGAATCCCCACTTGATAACATCTATTAACACCTTCAATCCCCACTCGAAAAACACCCATTAACACCTTGAATCCCCTGGAGAGTCACTGGCAAAGCATATATCCTGAAATGAGAAAATATATTTGAAATGTTTAATATTTATATTAACTGACTTGTTGTTTGCCGACTCCCTTCACTTTAAACCAACAAACCTTGAGGCACTGATTTATATTTAACTGCCTTTGACCTGTTTCTGTCAAAACAAACATTTGTAATTTGATGAGATTTGTTAAAAAATGAAGAAATATGAAGTCATTGCTCTGCCCTGACATTTCATAATGAGGCCTGGATATTTTTTGAGTGGTGAGATTTGTCACTAAGTTGAATCATTGCCTGTCATGGCATTTCCCAGTGAGACATTAACGTATCTTGTTCCAATGAAACTGAAGCAGGAGACAAGCCTTTATGTAGAATGACGTAGATGTACCCAGTGATAAGTGTAAACTGTCTATTGGAGGGAAGCAGTAGTCACGCCTGGCTTGTCAGGGATGTGCTCATGCAATGTACACCGAAAAATGTTAGCAGTGCTACATACATTGATTTATTGAATGTCAGCGTGGGGAAGGGCAGAGAATAAACCGCGTGCTCCTCATTACAAGGGGAATACTCGCACTAAACTGCCACAATCACAGTATCTGTGGAATCACGGACCGTCTACCGCCACGCTCATCAAGTGGTTGAAATCAGACCATTAGATTGGTGATATTGACGAGATTCTGAATGATACTGACAAGTGTTGGCGTGATATCGACGAAGATCAGACAGATATTGGCGATACAGATTTAGTGAGGTTTACTTGAGCTTAATGTTGTTTTTTCTGTGGATTACCATAAAGCTTATTGGCCATCGGGGGATTTGTGTGCTCGTGCAAATGATGGGCAATAAAGCCTTTCATTGTGGATGAAAGAAGTTATTGATGGTGAGAAGTCGAAGGTGACCATCTATGGGATTATAGTGTGATGACAGTCATTGGTATTCATTTGCTGTTTTATTGTTGATTTAGATTCTAAGGAGAATTTGTGTTTTGTCTGTGGGAATACATATCTTTATTCAGATTTATTTGATTTGATTAAATTAATATAAAATGTGTATAGGTATTTATTACGTATGTGTTTATTGATTCAAAAGTTCAGTATTTTGATTACGAAGCTTTGATTATGTTGTATATATTGACACAGCTTTTTGGTGTGGAACTTGGAGTAATTATTCTATTTGTGATAAAACTGTTTGGTATGAATTCGAGAATAATTTTGGTTCATTTTATACCAGGATTAGTTGGTTGTTTGTTTGTCTGTCTGTCTGTCTGTCTGTCTGTCTGTCTGTCTGTCTGTCTGTCTGTTTGTTTGTTGTTCAGTGCCGCACTCAGCAATATTCCAACTGTATGGTGGCGGTCTGTAAATAAATGAGTCTGGGCTTGACAATCCAGTGATCAACACCATGAGCATCGATCTATGCAACTGGGATATGATGACATGTGTCAACAATCATTTGCAATCAAGATTGTGCTCTGATAGTGCATATATAATTGACCTACAAAGTCAGTGTGTGATGATGGTTTGTTTTCATGTTTTAGTAAATTAACGCTTATATTGTACCAAATGAACTTGTCATTCCCCATCACAATGGCGGGAGCACCTGATCCATCTTAATCACTACACTTTCACCATTTTCTGGGTCTTTATGTAAAACAGTACAGTTATTTTTCCATGAGTGACACAAATGGCATTCCGAAGTTAGAAATAGTCTTTCCATTTCTGGAAGTTTGCAGAACTCCGACAATGTAATTAGGTTCAGAATGACAGGCAGCATTGTATCTTATTAAATAGCTTTTAAGGTGCAATTTCTTACAATTGTGTTTTGTCTCTTTTAGGTGAAACAAGAGCCTATTGAAAGCTGGTGTCTGGCACAACGGATGTACATGCCTGGTGTAGAACAACTCTGACAGATGACTGTGGTTAAGTTGTCAAGATGAAGACAAAGTCTAGTGGTATCCCCAATAACTGTGCCCACAATCCGTGAAGTGATGTCTCCCACTATTGCCAGTCATGAAGACCAACATATCTGTTGTGGTATTCTTCTGTGTGTTAACCTGCTGGAGTGATCACAGTGGTGCTTTTGAGTTGAAAAATGGAGACGACTTGAAATTTGTTGGTGTGAGAAAAACTCCACATGGTCGTCCTCAGGCTAAATGGATTAATTCTGGGAGAGGTTTTGTGGATGTTCTCCACTCATATAAGCACAATGGGTACCAGACCGTTGATAAAGACTTGAACGAAGATGGATTGAAATTTAAGAGTGTCGGGCTGTCTGGACAGAACCCTAGGAAAGGGTCGACTCAAGATGGCCGTGTTTCAGCAGACAGGAAACAGAATGTCCCAGTTATAACAGCAAGTGAATATGTGTTGAAATTTAAGCCACAAACCACATGGGGACATATAAGAAACGTTTTGGTAACAAGGTCGAATGGCGAGTGGTATGATGGATCTATTTTCACCAACAAAGACTTAGTTACCACATCCAGGCTAAAATCAATATCAGCGCAGCAGTTCAGCAGGTCCTCGGGGAAAAGTGATGTGAAAGACTTAAGTTTTCTGTATGTGAAGGATTCTGTGAGAGACTCATATAGAAACCGTTATCACGAAACCAAGTCGAACAAAGGCCAAGTTTCTCCTTCTTTAGCCAGGAGCAAATTCTTCGATGGTCTAAGTGGTCATAACAAGGGCAGGGGGGTGGAGAGGATAAGCCATGGCAATACCAGGAGACACAATGAGACTTCTATCAACTCTGCTGCTTCAAAACGGACAAATTTGATTTCCTTATCTCGACAGAAGCGTAGCATTGATAGTGTGCAGGATGGCGGCGTTGATTCTTCAAGTGTTTCAGAGGGTCAGTCAAGTGTAGGTAAACTGGGTCTGAGCACTGGCCATTCTGATCAGAATTCATGGCCAGACAGGACCAGAAACTCTGGTCTGTACACATCACCCCCATTTGAAAAGGAATCGATCAACACAGATACGTTTCTCACTAGTAGTAGCACGAGTGTAACAGGGTCTGAAACTAAACAAAGCACTGAATTACCACAGGGCATTAGTTTGGATACGACCACAAATCGCACAGGTACCATTCCAGTTTCATCACCAACAAACATTCCTATAATTGACCCCAGTACTGCTCCTACTACTGCTAGGAACACCAGTGGGCTTAATGGTGTGGGTTCAGAATCTCCAGAAATCCTGACAAAATCTCACTCTCAAGTGTCCTCATCATCTCTGGGTATGACAAGTCTATCTTCAACTAAGCTGCCTGACCCTGCTATACCCTTCAATCTCAAAATACCTCCAGAAGAGACCTCTTCAGAATTTCAAATTGCTGCAAATAGTGATGTCAGTGGATTATATTCTACAACACTGAGTTCGATTTCTCTAAGTGCTTCCACTTCAGTTATTAATGATGGTTCAGTGTCCACACTCCCAACAGTCAGTAAATCCAGGGATGGATCCTCCACAGAAGCTTATTCAAATTTTGATGCAAAGGATGCATTTGTGAGTGAAACTTCTCCAACACAAATTTTCACAACTGCTCAAACCCTGCTGCCAATAGCTGAGACATCTCCTGAACCTGTTGCTGAGACGTCTGCTGTACCCATTGCTGAGACGTCTGTCAAACCTATTCCTGAAACATCACCAGAAACAACACCACAAACATCACCAGAAACCTCCCCTGAGACATCACCAGAAACCTCCCCTGAGACATCACCAGAAACCTCCCCTGAGACATCACCAGAAACCTCCCCTGAAACATCACCAGAAACCTCCCCTGAGACATCACCACAAACCTCCCCTGAGACATCACCACAAACCTCCCCTGAGACATCACCACAAACATCACCAAAAGAACCCTGAGACATCACCACAAACATCACCAGAAACCACCCCTGAGACATCACCAAAAACCTCCCCTGAGACATCACCAGAAACCTCCCCTGAGACATCACCAGAACCCTCCCCTGAGACATCACCACAAACATCACCAGAAACCTCCCTGAGACATCACCACAAACATCTCCGGAAACCTCCCCTGAGACATCACCAAAAACATCCCCTGAGACATCACCAGAAACCTCCCCTGAGATATCACCAGAACCCTCCCCTGAGACATCACCACAAACATCACCAGAAACCTCCCCTGAGACATCACCACAAACATCACCACAAACCACCCCTGAGACATCACCAGAAACCACGCCTGAGACATCACCACAAACATCACCAGAAACCATCCCTGAGACATCACCTGAGATACCACCACCAACAACACACCCACAGCCAAAAGCAGAACCAGGTAGCACTGTAACTCGTCTTCCAATGATATATGTACCCCAAGCTGCGGAAACAGCAACAGATGAAATCACCAAGATAACTAGTTCCAAGACATCTGTGACTTCCACCCCAGAACCATCCAGCACAACATCAGAGCCTGTGCCTGAGGCACACTCACCATCCAGCACCCAGGCAACTCATGACAGCAATCCTGAGGAAGGAGAGGGTGAGGCAGAGCCCGAGGGTGAAGCCACACCCAGCTCTACCTCCGGTTCCTCCACAACCATCCCCATAGCTGAACCAGGCCCTGACTGGGTAGATGCCAAAAAGAAATGGAACATTGCTTGGGAGATCCATCTGTACATGTTAGGGGGAATATTTGCAGCAATATCTTTTTACACTGTCACCAGTATGATCAAACTGTACCAGATCAACAGGCTTCTGAGCAAGAAATACTTCATCACCCTCAACCTCCTCATCTTCATGTTGTGTACCGTTCGAGCTGTCTTCCTTCTTGTTGATGGCTACAATTCCAATCAAACGTTTCATCCAGTGCTCAACTATCTCCTCTACAGCTCAGCCTTCCCTTGTTTGACATCAGCCTTCAGCATCCTGCTTTATGCTCTGCTACAAGCAACACAAATGAGACTTGTCCCACCCCGAGTTCAAAAGATCCAAATCCTAATCACCGTCATCTTATTTCATTTTGTTCTCCAGATCACAACAGATGTTCTTGTGGGAACCTATGCTGGAATGAACATCATGCTATTTGTGTGCCAACTGTTTTACATCTGCTGGGGATTGTTCTTATTCTTTGGATATGCTTACATATTCCGATACCTGTACTCCTCGGCAGTGAAACGACAAAAGAACTACCAGTACATGCTTACTGGAAAGACTTACCCAAGTGGATCCGAAAGTTATAAACACAAGTTCACCTTGAGCTTAGCAGTCAAGGTCACATTCATGGGGTCCATATTAGGTCTTGTGACCATCGGGCTGGAAATATACGCCATAATAGGTGTATATGGTGTTTTCTCAGACAAAAAGCCAGAACCCTGGCCTTGGTGGTTGTACCACACTGCTTTACGACTTGTTGAGTGCTTAATGTGTATTATCATGGCCTACGTGGCTTCGCAGCCATTTCGCTATACAGAACTAAAGACATGCAGTTTCTTGTGTGGTCCGTGTATGGAGATATGTCAGTGTGGAGGTAAAGGCGATCAGAGTGATAAGCTGGGCTGGAGTGAGTATGATCGCTTGTACATGACAACCAACAAAAGAAGCAACGGACATACAAATGGGAAGAAGAAGAAAATATATTTGAATGAAGGCACAGATATTGTTCCCATTGTGATACAGCCCAGTACAACTGATGAGTCACGACCTCCATCCATGTTGATTATTGAGGATGGATATGTTCGATTCCAGGCGGAGACGGACATCAATAAAATTGTGGATACTTACACTAAGACACATGAAACAGAGATGTCAACGTTTAAAAACTTTGATGGAATTGTAAATGGTGCTTATATTCGCTCAATGGAGGATACCGTTCGCTTTCAGGGCGATCTGGCATCAACCGATGGCTACATTAGAAAAAGTCGCAAAAGCAGTTTGGCAAGCAGTGGATTTTTCCGACCACCTTCATCTATCAGTCTTGCTGATAGCATGGAGTCTGAAATCGACAAAGCCTTTCGAAGTATGCGACAGGACAGTTTGTCAAAATTACGTGCTTCAACTCATAGCTTACCTTCGCAAAGCATGTATAGTGGTGACGATAACTTTCAGGGACCGGCAATTGATGCCTACTTGGAACAACAAGTAGGTCAACCTAAAGCTGGTCTTCGAAGGTCAAGGTCAGCATTAGGGGACTTGAATATTCAAAAGCCAGAAACCTGGCGGCACAAACTGTTCAGAAGCAGAAGTGATAACTCTGCTTGTATCCGAACCAAAGATTTAGACAGTATGAGATATTTGTCCTTGCTTGACCTTGAAAAGCAGCAGGATAAAAATGCAGACAGTGCATCTGGTGATTCGAGTTCCAAGACAGCTGACAGTTCCGATGATAGCTATCGAGAGCATCATCAATCAACTGATAACCTAACCGCAAACCGTGAGGTTGTGAAAAGGTTATTACAAAAAGAAAACTCTGATCCAGAAGAAATTGATGTGTGATGTTCAAACTTTGGGTCAATTCTTTCAGCTGGAAAGGATTTAAGTGACATTTTTGTAAAATCATATATCATTCTTTAGAAATACATAAATGTGTCTCTGAGATTAATATTGATTTGAAGGTATTGTTATTGTTTTTGAGATTATCAGTTTCTATGATTTTCAAGATTCATTCATTTATGACAATGATTAAGTTTGAGAGAATGCTAAAAAATTAAACAAGGCCATGATTAATCTCTAAACTTTGTATGTTCTGCTAGCTTGATAGACGTAGATTTGATTTGAGAAAGAATTGGGGCCTCAGCTGGCTTTGTTTTAAAAAATATTTCATCAGCGTAGACAATGATTCTGTGTAGCAATAAATTAATATTTTATGATCATTTGGACTACTCAATTAAGGCAAGGATTTATTGACAGATTTGTGATAAAGATACTGCCCTTTATTGAGGATTTGATTTTTGACTCTTACATCGATTAACTTGAATATTTTGTATATCATCAATAACTTTTATATCAATTCATCCCATCTGTTTGCCTTGAAATCCCATGTACCCATTTTCATCCTGTGATCTGAACATATGGCTGATAGGTCTGAGGATCACCATGTTTGTTTACAGAGAAATCAGAAAAGAGTTTTTCAAGATTACAAATAATTGATCACTTTTCTTTTTGGACTAGCCTCATCTTTCATTGTCTGTTAGTATTCGAAACAAATCATGATATCATTGCAAGTATAAAAGGAAAATTTATTTATTGTCTCAAAACCAAAAAATCACATGAAATGCAAGAATAATTTAGAATGACAGATGTTGTGGACAGTTAACGATAAATTCATGTGAATTTGAGACATTCATTGACCATTGACAACATTTCGATTACACTTATTCCTTGAAGCAAGAATATGTTGTATATTTTGTAAATATCATTTTGTATGTTACCATGGTTACCGAGCTAGTACTCACGACTAGTCATATCAGAACTCCCCACCATCTCAGTGCAATCAATCCTTTACTTTTATTTCAACTTTTTTGTATAAACTTCATATCATGCGATTCTTTGCTAATCAGCAGTTATTTATTCTTTTTTACAGTTTTCTGTATTGTCAATACTCAGGAGGAGTGGAAAAATATTAACTCACATATGCCAAAATATCATTTTGCCATAGTGAAAAATAAAATAAATCCAAATTCACAAGTGTATTGGAGATATTCATCCATGGAACGTTTTTAGTCGAGTCTTTTCATAAAACAGGATTTAGACAGAGGCTGATCTGTAGTAGTAGTGTTTTACATTAATTATACCACTTTTTCCAGGACATAACTGTGATGTAATTATTATTTATTAAAGAGATTTAATTACTCCTTTTAATTACCCCTTGTATAGATTTTCCTATCATTTTTCAGCCATTCCTCATCGGAAATTGACAGTGACGTTTTTATCTCTTCCAATCACTCTTGCAATGAATACACTTAAACAGGGAGAATTTAACCCCAATCAATGAACCCCCAAAAGATGATTGTGTGTTAAAAACAAGACAAATGGGGAAATATGACCCTTGATTTTTTATTTAAATAGTGAATCAAGCTTGTCTGGCCTTACTTAATATACTGACGCACATTGAAAATGCATAATCATGTTTTCAAGCATTGGAATGTCGGTTTCAACACACATCGTTTGAGATTCAGACCCAAACAACAACAAAATTTGTGTTTGATTACCTCATGCCTCAATACACAGAACAACTTTGATTTTTTTGCTAATTTTCCAAATTTTGCAAAAATCTGAATATGAGTTTTCAAAGTGTTTCAGTAAATAGGGACATTTTTCTTTTCTTTTGTGATATTGTTTAAAGGGATCAAAGAGAAATGATTTGATTTTAGATGATTCTGATATGGTCTGAGTAAACCCAATGGTCTTAAGACTAAAGACAAAAATATCATTTGTTTGAACAATGGGTAAAATCTACCACATATGCAATTCCATTCTCAAGATTTGTTTTGTATAATTTTGTTGTTTTCCGTATATGGCTTGAACATTTGGTTCAAATGATCTGTTTCCAAGTGAACTAAGTATGTTCAGGGTCTCTGTAAGGGTCTTATCGCGTAAAGGTCTTTTGCAAAAGGGTCTTAAGCGCAAGGGTCTTGTGCCTAAGTGTCTTAACCGTAAGGGTATTATGCATAAATGTCTAATGCGCAAGGATCTTATACGTAAGGGTCTTATACGTAAGGGTCTAATGCATAAGGGTCTTATGCAAAAGGGTCTTAACCGTAAGGGTCTTATGCCTAAGTGTCTTAACCGTAAGGGTCTTATACATAAGGGTCTTATGCATAAATGTCTAATGCACAAGGCACTTATACGGAAGGGTCTTATGCTCAAGGATCTTATATGTAAGGGTCTTATACATAAGGGTCTTATGAGTAAAGGTCTTAAGCGTAAGTTTCTTATACGTAAAGGTATTGTGCGGAAGAGTCTTATGCGTAAGGTCTTACTTCTTTATGTCATTTCTTGTATGTACGCAAGTCTTTCTTTGTTAAAATGTTATTGACACGTGATACATCTCATGCCAGTTTCATATTTCAATTTTCATAAAGTAATCGTTGATTCCCCAAACTGCAGAAAATACTGTTGGTGTGAATTACATGTATATTTTTGTATCGACAAGTTGACAGCGATGTTGTTATTTCTTGTCAAAACATCAAAGATGTAGTTGATTCAGGGAACAATGCTCTATCGAAGCCATGTACATAACTTGTACATTGCTGTCAGTCAAATGATGCTTGTTTGTTGTTTGGACAATTGTTTGTACAATGAAAACAATGTTATGTGAGTTTTGACTGTTTTCACTCTGAAGTCATGCAGGTTATTTCCTTTGTGTCTTGTTTTTAAGTGTCACTTGTTTTTACATTGATTAAGAAAACAAATGTACTGTGTTTGACATATTTGACATGCTGTACACTTACTTGATGAAATTGTGATTGACTGGTTTGTTGTTTAACACCGCACTCAGCAATATTCCAGCTGTATGATGGCGGTCTGTAAATTATCGAGTCTGGACCAGACAGTCCAGTGATCAACAGCATGAGCATCGATCTACACAACTGGGACACAATGATATGTGTCAACCAAGTCAGTGACACATGTCATCCTGTCCCAATTCTGCAGATAGATGCTCATGACATCAATCACAGGATTGTCTGATCCAGACTCAAATATTTACAGACTGACACCATATAGCTGGAATATTGCTGAGTGCGGCGTTTAACAACAACATAAAACTGAGGAGCTTTACTGTGTTTAAATTCAGTTTCCAGATATGTAATGGTTGGTTGAGCATTTCATATTATTCCCCTCATTGTGAGATCAGTTTGATGATTGTCAAGTCAATTAATTGAGTCCCTTCACTTTGGTATCTTTGCTAAATCACTACACACTAAACGCACTCAATGTTCTGATTATTTCAATTCTTGTGACAGATTGGATATTTATCTTCATGAAGAGATTGATTGGGTTATGTATGCTAGGTGTACAGCACTGTTATTATGTAAAAATGCAGTAAATCAGATACTTGTCAAAAACATTATGCTACCGGTCAATACAGATGAATTCAGAAGATCTAATTTGGATGAATATGAGAAAAAAAACATTATCATTTCAGAATTATCAGGTCAATCAAACAGTATACTAATTAATTATTAATTAAACTATGCATTGAATAGCATTGTATGTTCTTAACATTCATACATTGTAGCAGATGAAAATGATAGCAGCTTATTAGTTCAGTTACTCACCCAGGACAGGATACAAACATTATTTGCCATGAAAGACCTGTGGTGTAAACAGGATACTTGACGTGTACATTTCTTGATTTCTCATTTCAGCAACTCTATGTTTCTGTGTTTGTTGGTCTCCATCTGTTACCTGAGTATCATACCTACCTGTGCTGACAATTAATCATCAAATAAATCAAAATTCAAATTTAACATGACTTTGAATTCTTTGTTTTGAAGTTAGTTTATTATGATTGGGATAAACAATTGGATAGATTCCTGGGTACATTCATGAGGAAAATAGCTTATGAATGAATGATTGACAAAGGTGAGAGTTATGTCCCTTTATCTGTCACAGACTGATCTAATGTTGGACCAAATTTATACTGAATCTATGTTGTTTTGTTTTCTGCACTTAACCCAATGATGGTGTGATGTATATATTCAAGTCTGAACCAGACAATCCAGTGAGTGATATTAGGAGCAACAATCCACACCATCATGACAAGATTATGTAAAAACCAACTCAAAAAGTCTGACCATCCAATCCTTTTACGACCAGGGCCCCGTTCCTCAAAGCGATTGTAGCGCTACGACAGCCGTAACTCCCATACTTTAACATAGACTTACGACTGTCGTAGCGCTACGATCGCTTTGAGGAACGGGGCCCTGGATAAGATGCTGGGTTCCCAGAATAGGCTGCTATTTTGTTAATATTCTGAAAGGAAATGTTAAGGCCACCCAGTTTTTATCTTTCTTGAGTGACATTACAGATTTAACTAAGGTCGAAGTGGCTGGTCAACACTGGTCATTCACTTCTTCTTCTTGTATGTAACCGTAGCCCATATCAGAGGTAGTCATTGGATGATGTAATACACGCCAATGTAAGGGGTGCAAGTATCACCCCCACAATATATTAGGATCATCTTGCTTTACCCCCACAGATTTCTCTTCAACCTAAGGGTCGGTGGGGTAGCCTAGTGGTTAAAGCGTTCACTCGTCACGCCAAAGGTAAGGGTTCGATTCCCCACAGGGGTACAATGTGTGGAGCCCATTTCTGGTGTTCCCCGCCTTGATATTGCTGGAATATTGCTAATAGCAGCATAAAACTAAACTCACTCACTCTCTTCCACCTGACCTCAATTCCTGAGTTTTGAGACTGGTTTGAATGACATACAGTTAAATACTGCTCAAAAGAGCATCATACCTCACTCACACCAATATTTTGATTCTAGGTTTGTGATTATATTAAGCAGCTTGATGTGCAGTTTACAAATATTAAAACCGCCTGTGGCCTAGTGGATACAGCATCTACCATGGTGGTTCAATACCCTGATCGTGTCGACCGCCTCCCTGGTGTAGTGGTTAGAGCGTCCGCCCGGAGAGCGGAAGGTCGCAGGTTCAATCCCCGACCGCGTCATACCAAAAGACGTTAAAATATGGTACTTGTTGGTCCCTGCCTGGCGCTCTGCAATAATGGGTACAACAAGGACTGGTCGGCTCGGAGTCAGTATAATGTGTCTGAGTGGGGTATTCATGCTTCGATACGGCATGGTATCTCAGTGGGCTAGCACTATAAAACCAGCTTCAGTCTGGGCTAGTACAAGCAGCCGCACACACACGCATGCACGTCGTCATATGAGCGAAATATTCTGGAAGCACGACGTTAAACCCAATTTCACCTCACCTCACCTGATCCTGTCCACCAAAAGTTAAAAGATGGTACTTGTTATTACCCTGCCTCGCACGCAGCATCAAAGGGAAGTAACAAGCACTGATCAGTGGTAATGTACAGTGTTGGAGTGGGCAATCAATGTTAAACTGTGGAGTGAGTGAGTTTGGTTTTACGCAGCTTTAAGCAAATTCGCAATATCACAGCCGGGAACACCAGAAATGGGCTTCACACGTTGTACCCAGGTGGTGAATCGAACCCGGGTCTTCGGCGTGACGAGCGAACGCTTTAACCACTAGGCTACCCGACCGCCCCTTAAACTGTGGAAATGTATTTAATATGAGCACAGTAATCTATAATCTGGCATTAAACCCAGTTTTACTTGCCTACAAATTTTAAATTGAAACATTATCAAAATCAGACAGTTTTTGTGTAGGAGCAAAATTACGATAAAACAAAAATTATAGTAATTTTAATCACATTTTTGTCTTTATGCATTTTGAGTCTGGTATAAATGTCAATAAGAAATGAGTTGCCTGATTTGGTCAACTTAATTGCTTAATATGCTGTATAGTTGAACATTTCAAATGGAAACTCATAATGGGCATAATTTCTCTTAACGAAGTAAATTGTCCAAATAACTTGTCATGAAATTGACAAATGTGAATGTGAAGAATGTTGGTTTTCTCTAAATTCCTTCAGTCATTAATTTGCTGAAAGGCACTTTGCATTCCTGGTATAAAGTACTTCATATATAATATGTTGACAAGGGATTAATATGTTAAGAATGTTGAACTGACTCATGTCCATTACTATCTGACCTTCCTGATGGAGACTAATTGACCAGCGATTAACCAATGAAATAATGAGAGATCATTCACTGCTGCCCACAGCTGATTACTTCCTGCTGTGTACATAGCACCTGTCTATCATTCTCCTTGGTTGTATATATCATGTATTGACAGGTGTGCAATGTATCATGTTCTGAAGTGTAGGGGATAATGACATTTCAGGTTGTATATTTATCATTAAATGACTCAAAGGTTTTGATCAGACAATCACAGCAGTCATTGGCGGGACATTTTTAATAATATTTTCAAGGTAACAGCATCCTTGAAAACTCACCCCAAGAAACCACATCTTTCACTCTACATGGAATCCAAAGGCATAAACAACATCAGCACATAAACAAAACAAGGTTTAGGTGAAAGTACACACATTTGGGAGCTTCAAGTCAATGGATACATTGGTAGCGCACTATTACAATGTTTGAAACTGGATTTTTATACAGAATATTATATCCACAAAGGGCAAATACACAGATTACAAAAGAAAAGAATGAGTATGGTTTTACATCGCTTTTGGCAATGTTCCAGCTATATCACTGCGGGGTACATCAGAAATGGACTTCACACATTGTACCATGTAGGGAATTGCACTGGGTCTCCAGCCTGACCAGCGGACGCTTTTAACCATTAGGCTACCCCACTGCCCAAAGAAAAGACGACTTGTATTTATTTATTGATCATGCATTTAGAGACAAACTACATTTTCCTGAAAATATATACCTGGCATTTTACTAGAAATGTCAAATGTCCTCTATTTTATCTAGAGCTACTCCCCACATGACAATACGTCAAAGTACTGGCGACATTTCTTTTCATCCATATCCCGGTGCATGGCCACCTCCAGCGTTGTCCCGATTCTGGTGCCCAGAAGTGATTGTTGATTACATGACATTTCTACAAGGTCACAGGAGGACACAAATTCCCATTCGTTGTCTCGCTGCAGGCGAAATATTCAGACCAACATATATGCTGATCACGCAAACCTACATTTACCATAGATTCCTGATTAAACTAACCAGAATCGTGTTTGTTGTTCGTGTACCCCATAACTTGAGTTGGTGAATTTTTTTATATATTTCCAAACAAACGCAAACTGCACAAATCAGTGAGTCCACTTGCAGGGACACGTGAAGACGCGTGCTTGAATATGCCCCGAGCAATCTGTTGCTGCTTGAGGAACATCTCCCTGTCGTCTGGCGCTGCAAATCACTGAGCAGAGTTGCGTCCCTTGGACGTGCAAGCAGCACTACTGAGTGAGTGAGTTTAGTTTTACGCCACATTTAGCAATATTCCAGCAATATCACGAGGGAACAACAGAAATGGGCTTCACACATTGCAGCCATGTCGGGAATCGAACCTGTGCACATGTCTTTGGTGTGACGAGCGAACGCTCTTACCACCTGGCTACTCCCGCTGCCCCCAGAGCATTATGATCATGGGTTCATACCGCCGCAAATACCGTAACCCTGCTCTTTGGGGTTCAAAGTGATAAGAATATTGTATGACCTTCATCACTTCCGGTGTTCATCACGCTGACAGGTTGCGACATAACTGAAACACTTTTCAAAGCCTCGTGAAATCTCATTCATTCGCTTGTGGGTATAAGAAGCGACTCAAATGTATCGACCTGGCTCAGTGGCTAATTTATCCTAACTACCCCGGACGTTACCCATCGTATCGTATCAACCACTGGTTTGCCAGCCCATGCAGACTCCATCACTTTCAGGCCATGATTATAATAACCTGAATATTACTCGCGGACGGATTATAATCAAAGCAAAAATTTCTAATTTCAAATAACTTTGATTCTTTCATGCACCCAAAGGCAATCAATTATAATTAAATCAGACATTTTTCAAGCAGTAATTGAAATTTTAAATGAAAAATGCCAGGCTACCATCGCACCCACGCACTTGAGAAGGTGCACTAAACTCTCCAGGCCACTGGGGCGATGGGGTAGCCCAGTGGTTAAAGCATTCGCTCGTCACGTCGAGGGCCCGGGTTCGATTCCCCACAGGGGTTCAATATGTGAAGCCCATTCCTGATGTCACTCGCCCTAATATTGCTGGAATATTGCTAAAAGTGGCGTAAAATCCAACTCACTCATTTAACACACCAAATACCCCAAACCCAAAAGGTTGTAACTTATGACAAATAAATCCCCTTGTAGTAAATTACGTACATTTACAGAGGGCCATAACGACGCATGCGCATTTAAAACTGACCTGACACAAAATCTACATGCCACTGACCTACGGGCAAACGTTTATTTCGAACACTGTATTGAAGACAATACGGTACATCAGCAACCTCCAACTCCATCAAATCTGCGTCTTCTGTCAGACTGACGACATTACCACGAGACATGTACAATGTACTTATCTCCAGAAAGCTAATGTCGATGGCGGTATACGATGAATTATGCATGGGGGTAATCATTATATACCACGACACCATTAACGTCGTGAGACGGGCACCCCAACCACGTTATGCCCTGTGGTGACCACTACAAAATGTACACACGATCGGGAGAATGATTTATACAGACCCGAGAAAACGTTAGCCATGTCTGTCTGTCAAATGGTCATTTGCTACATCTCAAATCTGATATTGGAGTTATTTTCGATTAATTCGCGTGACCTCGTTCACTCACTGCCTGGGGCTGACTGTCATTTAGCACCCATGATCGTTCTTACAATCTACATTAATATTATTAAACTGATCTGATTAAGATCGACAGGAAATCATGGCACAGTTTTGCGCGTCAGTTCCGTTGGGGAAGAAAAGTGAGTGAGTGAGTTTAGTTTTACACCGCTTTTAGCAATATTTCAGCAATATCACGGCGGTGAACACCAGGAATGGGCTTCACACATTGTTCCCATGTAGGGAATCGGACCAGGGTCTTCAGCGTGACGAGGGAGCGCTCTAACCACTAGGCTACCCCACCGCCCCTCGTTGAGTAAGAATAGACAGATATACGCGAACACACAAAGGTGTCTAGCCAGCTAAACAAATATAAAATATGGAGTGAGTGAGTGAGTTTAGTCTTACGACGCACTCAGTAATATTCCCGCTATATATGGCGACGGTCTGTAAATAATCGAGTCTGGACCAGACAATCCAGTGATCAACAGCATGAGCATCGATCTACGCAATTGGGATACGATTACATGTGTCAACGAAGTAGGCGAGCCTGACCACCAGATCCCGTTAGTCGCCTCTTATGACAAGCATGGATTACTGTAGACCAATTCTAACCCGGATCTTCACGGGTTAAAAAATGTGGAAAATTACAAAACATTATGACATTCCTATTCATACGACACAATCAAAACGGCTCTAATGTGACATGAAAAGTGTGCCTATCAACTGAAACTTTTAAACATTGAAAGCATTTTGAAACATGTTAAACACGCCATTTCTTTTGTTTGTCATGGGGGTTTACATGAAAACATCTGGGGATTTACAGTGACGAAACAAGAAGCGGACATAAAATGTAGAATCATTAACACTGTCCCAGTATAAAACAGACGTGTGGAAAATCTGCCCCTAAGCTACTGAGTATGGTTTTACGTCGATTCTACTGATTATTTCAGAAATATCAAGGCGAGGGACACGGGAAATGTGCTTCACAAATTGTACCATGTGGGGAATAGAACCGGGGCTTCAACGTGATGAGCGGGGGCTTTAATCACAAGAATACCCCACCAACCCGAAAACCTGCCCGAACTGTCGCAGTACGCGAAACTTTTTTAAAACATTGCCAAAACTGTATAAAGATATACATAACATACTCTTTACATATTAAACAGTATTGGGAGTTTTGTGGAAAACAAAACAAAACCACACTGACACTAGTGTGTCATACAGCCCCTGATACAAATACAACCAAATAGACAACCAAATCAAGAACATGTGGACAGTCTAAATCACCACCGTTTCATTTTATGAAAACAAAGAAACCATTTTTTTCTGAAATATATGTGGGGCGGTGGGGTAGCCTAGTGGTTAAAGCGTTCGCTCTGTCGCCGAAGACCCCGGTTCGGTTCCCCACATGGGTACAATATGTGAAGCCCATTTCTGGTGTCCCCCGCCTTGATATTGCTGGAATATTGCTAAAAGCGGCGTAAAACCATACTCACTAACCCATTGCAATATATGTCTATAAATAGATGTTTGTCTACGTATATGCTGCCACCGACGAGACCTCATGTACAAATGGCGGACCCTACGACTGTGCTATTCGTGGTTACATCAATGGTGTTTACGCTATGGTATGTATGACTGACTAACCCAAAGCACATCAGTCAAGACGAGTTAAGTGTAAAGCTGATTTGGATTGATCTAACAAGCGATGTGGGACTCATTGGACGCGTCCGCGCCTTAATGAACATTCGAGACCTTAATGGGACTGTGGCCATGGGGCTGGCTCGGACAATCAGTGACCACTAGTCTGGTTAATGCAACGATCCAGCCGAACAGTGGTCAAACTGAATGTATTCATGAGAATTTGTCGTGTTCCTTGTTATACGCTATAACATTGAAACATTGATTTTCTTGTAACACTGGCCGTCATATTCAAGCGCTTATATAAGTGCGTCCTTTTGGTATTCCATGAAATGGCTTCTCAATTATGTCTGTTGGCATTGGCGAAAGTGGATCTAAACATCTCTTAACTTGATGTCTTTGCTATTGTGATTTAGTTATATTTCTGTAGTTGTTGCTTAAGTTTGCACTCAGAAACGCCAAGATGAAGATGACTGTGGACTGGAACTAATCGAATCTGTACCAGACAAAGTAGTGATTGATATAGTGAGCATCAATGCATGTCATTAAAGTACCCTCTATTTGGAGGTGCATAAAGAAATGTTGCCCTATTAATAAAGGTACCTGTGAAGATCCGGTTAGAATTGGTCTTCAGCAATCCATGACTGTCGGAAGAGGCGACTAACTGGATGGGGTGGTTAGGCTTGCTGACTTGGTTGGCACATGTCAATTATTGCGTAGATCAATGCTCATGATGCTGATCACTGGATTGTCTGGTCCAGACTCGATTATTTACAGACTTCTGTCATATAGACTGCTGTAATGTACTTATAAATAACTTGGCCACTTTTAAAACCAATCTCAAGACCCACCTTTTCTCAAAAGACATAGGCCTAGACTGAGTGGACATTGGTGATACATGTGACATGCATCCTCTCAAAGCACTTTTGAGCAGTTATACTGACTGGATTCTTGCCCTACATAAGTTCATAGTTGATGATGATGATGATGATGATGATGATGATAGCTGGAATCTTGCTAAGTGTGGGTAAAACAGCAAACAAACTTATCATTAAAAGATACATTTGGAATAAATGGACCCTAAACCACTTTTCAGAAAGAAAATCCTACATGGACTCTCAAGTGCTGATTTAGGCAAAAACTTTAAGAACAAAAAGTGGTATCGTAATGCTTAAGAGAAACACACATAAAATACCAAAGTAATGTACACCAGTATTGTATTCACTCTATTACATGCTCTGGTTTGTTTGTTTGTTTGTTTGTTTATTGTTTAACACTGCGCTCATCAAATGTTTCTGACCAATTGCAAATTACATCAATGGATATCTCATTCTGTATAGGTAACAAAAAGGCTTGTGAGATTAATATGTGAATATATCTTACAAAAAATCCTTAAATGAAGAAATATCAAAACACATTTTAAAAATGAGACACATGTAATGAAATAAACATATATGGAAGTGGCTGAACGATGATATCACCTAGACACTAAATTACAGGGGATGAATAAATAACTGAACTACAGTTGAGGTACTGATATATTTAATAGATATCATTAACATTATCATTGTTTCATATAACCAATAACTGTTGAAAATGTCCAAAATTGAATATCCAAAAGGTTTGTCCGAAAGTTCCTGAAAGGGATCGACACAGTACACCCAGTGTCGACCATATTAGTAGGTGCATTTTCACCTAACACACAGTGAAGATACTCTTGAGAAAACTAAACAAGGATGGCACACATGATCGTGGCTGTTTCAAGGCATCTTCGTCCACAAGAACAATCTCCATGTAGGCAGTGCTTTTAGGGGTTGGGACAGAGGTCAGGGGGTTGGGCAGGACAGACAGGGGGTTGATGTGGACCATCCACTCAGTATTGGGGCACTTAAGAGGGGAGACAGAAACCAGTCTTTAAGTCATAAAACAAAGGACCATAGAGGCAGAAAAAGCACTCAATGTACCATGTAAACTACAAAACTACATAGGACAATTATCTTTTAGTGAAAGAATTATATAATTGAACAATAATAAGTTACAATTCAAGGTGTTCATGGATGTAGGGAGCCTTGTGGTGTTTTCAAGTAGTCACTACATACAACCTACTGGATGAGGGACAGGAGTGTAGGTAGGGATGGAGGCAGGGGCGGAGGCAGGAGTGGAGGCAGGAGCAGAGGTAGGGGAGACCATCTGCACAGGAGATACTTTCTTGTGGAGCTTGACTTGACCTGCGGAAGGAAAATAAGCAATTAAGAATATTGGAAATACAGAGATTCATGACAAGTCTAGACATACACAGGTACCATAAACCCAGTCCTTTGAAATTGTCAGGGGCGACAACATCAAAAACAGGCACCCATTACCATCTGATTGTCTATGTAATGGGCTATTGGGATTACACTTTCTTACGAAGGTACAGATTTTAGTAGTTTTTGGCTGAGTCCCATCTTACACACACAGAATGAGGCACCAAGACTTTACAAAAAATGAAAGTCGGACAACCGGTAGTCTAAATCACATACTTTGTGTACCTCTCTGACATGTAATTGTGTATCTTAGCATGGCTCTCATGGCTGAAAGCTACGCTAACATGTATTACAGAAGAGAGGTTTCCAACAGGAACGGGGTATTCTGATTCAATTGATTAATAGTGTTTGGAATTGGTTGAACTCTCACAATTAATCATTGGTTCATTACCAGCGTGCAATCACCGAAAAAAATGGTTAGCGTCATTGGGTTGCAGATGTTCGTGTTCAGGTTGTTAATGCACATAAGTATACAGAAAAAAACACGAGATTTTCTGTTGTGTTTTGTTTTATATTTAGAAATTGCGCAAATTCCACATCCAATGTAAACTGATGCAATTTGCCTATTAAAAGGGATGACTAACATATCATGAACACAAACCTCCCAGAGTCCTCAAGAAATATTCAGTCCGACTTTTCAGTAATTGAAGTGAGTTTTCTAAAGATTAAAACACGTTTTCAGGCCCTGACAACTTCTGAGATATGTTCCATCGTCAACACAGTAGAATCTAGTTCCAAAGTCGTTTGTGTTCGATTATGAGAAAATGTGATCGATTGCGTGGTCGTTTGGTCACTGCGACCAATCCTCGATTATTTCAATTAGTCGGACCACCACTACTGATTAACAAACATTGCAGTTTATACAGAAGACAAGTTCAGGGAATCACTTATTATCTTTTGTGACCCTAGGCTAGACTAGAACATTGGAATTCAAAGCATAAACAAAGAAAACGGAGGATATAAAGAACACAGAAATATACCTTGGTGGTAAACCCTGGCAGCATTAGCATACATGATGCACAATTCACCAGATGTGAGGAACACAGAGCGAAATGACAGCAGAGTCGTGAGATTTGCGTCAGCAATAAACAACAAGATGGCGTCGTTTGTGTTAGACAACGGTTGTTATGGAGACGCTGCTAATCTCGCAACATTTCGTGCTGTCTTAGACTGGTTCGCGCATGTTCCTACGATGGATTGGAAGAGATCACAAAAATACGTTCAGATTCCGGTCTAACGTTCGAGTGGATTCTTAAAATAGTGCTAGGATGTTTCTGCGCAGTGTTAACTTGCGATTTGCACAAACGGAGCCCAGTTCAGAAGATGATTTCTGAGGATATTTATTTGACTTTCTTACTAAATTGTCTTTACATGCACTGGTATCACATCAGTATCATTTAATTTCCTTCGTCCTTCTTAAGTGTGATTAAACACTTGATTTATATGTAAAATTGTTTTTAACCAATAACCCTCGTATTTGGGTGTTTTGGGCGATTAAAAAGTCGACCATAAGTACGACGTTTGACCGAGCTTTCGAGATTTGTGTTTAGTTGAGAGTAATCTCCCTTGGTCTTTGGAGGTCTCTTTCAACGTATGGCGTGAAACAGCCTTTCCTTTTGCTTGCTAGCACTGCCGCCCACTCTTCCAGTAGGTACACTGCGTGCCGTGTTAAAGGCACTTGTGAACTAGAGGTAGTTGTTCCTTATAAAATATATTTACCACTTGAAATTGTATGCCATCGAATGTTGTTTTACGCATGGTGTTTGTACCTTCCGGCTTTTACAATGTGAATGAAACCTTTCTGCAACATTGCATCTGCAATACATATTATCTTGATTGGTGTCTAAATTACTTAAGAATGCATTTTCGGTGAAAAATGAAATAGAATATCGTACATCTGATATACATATGCGCGCTTGTCCCAACATATAATGCTGAAGGGTTTTTTTTAGCCAGTGTTATGCAGTCGAATGTAATATTATATAGCATGAATATAACTATTGTTGATATGGTAATGACTGTAATGAGCGGGGGAGTCACAGAGTAAATAAGTGGGCGGATGAAAGGGAGATTCAGTAAATGAGTGAGTGAGTGAGTGATATTTAACGTCACTTTGAACAATGTTATACTTGTTTCACGGCGTGTCAGCCTAATCTGTCAGGAACATTTTGTTGTAAGTATTTGACTTTTATCACTTTGGGAAACTCACGAGCACGGTCATGGTAGTTCCAATAGAATAAGGACAACTTGAGGACTCAGTGAGTAATTAAGTTTGGTTTTACTACGTTTTTAGCAATATTCCATCAATATCACGGCGGGGGACACCAGATATGGGCTTCACACATTGTACCCATGTGGGGAATCGAACCCGGGTCTTCATCGTAACGAGCGGACGCTATAACCACCAAGCTACCCAACCGCCCTACTTGAGGATTCAACCCACGATCACAGTTTGCTTAAAGCGGCGTTTACACGACAAACTAAAGTTTGACAACACAACTCGCCACCAACACCAATTTCAGAGTTGTCAAACTGTTGTCGAGAAAAAGGATCGGTCTCTATTCTCACCAACTTTTCCATCAAACTTTCGGCGTTGTCAAACTCGAGTTTGACGTGTAAAGTGTTGTCAAACTCGTGTTGATCAGAAACAACCAATCGCAGTCAACCAAATTGTCACCTGACCGCACCGATAGAGACATGGCGCTCAAATGACACAAAAGTTTGACAACATGCGTTTGACGTGTGAAAACGCGAGTTTGACAACTTTTAAAATTTCAACTAACATGTGTTGTCAAACGTTAGTGTGCCATGCGAAGGCCGCTTAATGGATGCAACTCTGCACAGCGGCGCCTTCGACAACGAAAGACTATTACTATAATAAAATATTGCATAATAAAAACAACTAACAATGTAAATTTGAAGAATACCAGAATGGGCAATTCAGGAATGAACGCAGTTCGTTTTAAGGCCTTGGTCAGCAATTCACATCCCAGCTAACTGTTGTGGACACATAACCAATGGCAGATATCATGAGAAACGGTGACACGCAATAACCACCAGATTCATATCAGTGGGCTCTTACGACAAGCATGGAGTTATGAGGACTTCTATATAATTCTTATCATTCATGTCTGTATAAATGATTTTCCTGGCCACTGAGTGAGTGAGTTTAGTTTTACGCCGCACTCAGCAATATTCCAGCTCTATGACGGCGGCCTGTAAATACTCGATTCTGGACCAGACAATCCAGTGATCAACAGCATGAGCATAGATCTACACAATTGGGATGAAAAGACATGTGTCAACCAAGTCAGCGAGCCTGACCACCCGATCGCGTTATTCGCCTCTTACGACAAGCATGGGTTACTGGATAACAATTCTAACCAGGGCCTTCACGGGTTCCAAACACTGACTTGAGTACATCCGTTCTTAATTCCTTCATCTAATTTAACCCAATTTAGATTATAACATACCAATAGATTTAGGTGGTATATTACCCACATGCAATACAAAAAAGACTGGCAGACTACATGCACATAAACATAAGTCTGACTGACTGCATGGAGCCGGGAGCAACACTGATCCCACTTCAGTGACGACGACGACAACATCCCCAATAACTCAAGGCGCAATTTAGTCCCCCGCCCACATCTCCCATCCAATGCCGACATTCATTTACTAGTGTCAACTGAGCGGACATGCGGGGCATATATCTCGATAATGTTATCATAGTATCAGACATGATTTATTTTCCAATAAAGGAAGCGTTTACTTTGAGAAGGTTCTTGTCTCGCTTCACGCAGACATCTTGTAGTTGCACTGCCAGCATTTAGCGTATATAATATGGTCTATTGAAAGGTACTTTCGTTAAGTTGACAATGATTTGGTGTGGGTCCCTTCAATGATTGTAGGAGAATGCCATTTAAATTTAATCAATCTAAATTGTTAAATTAGATAAATACAGCATGCCCACCAAGTGAACTCGACCTTCAGTTTCCAAGAGGTAGGCTACCGCCTGCATCTTAGATACTGACTGTTTAACTGTCGTCGCCATTTATAGTCATTGAGTGAGTGAGGTTTGAGTTTTCCGCCGCTTTTTAGCAATTTATTCACAGCAATACATATATCACGGCGGGGGACACCAAAATGAAATGTTTAGGTGCTTCAATCATTGTACCCTATGTGGTCTGTAATAAATCGAGTATCGACAACCCGGGTCTTCAGCGTGACGAGCAAACGCTTTCACCTACTTATGCTGACCCCACCGCCCCTTACGCCATTTATTCGTGTTACATACATACTCTCCCCAAAAGTCATACTGATCGGTCATCAGAAAGATATAACAGTTTTAACAGGACCAAAACCTAACACATCAACACACCCGAAACATTATTCGAGGGCCATATCATTATTAATCCCCGTGTGTCCTCTTGTCCAACGTAGGTCACTCTTGATAACACAACGAGACGAAAGAGCTTATTCCACCCAACCTTCCGCCCAAAAAGTGCTGGACACCAGCAATGGCAATGGCCGTCACACCTTGTACCCATTTGGGGAATCAAACCCGGGTTTTCAGTGTAACGAGTAATCGCTAACAAATAGCCTACCCCAACACCCCTACAATGGATTTGAAATGCCAGCTAGGTAACGCTAATTACATCATTTTCATCGATAACGGTACCTGATCTAGGCAATCTATTGCATTCAGACTTCCTGGGACAGTTTGCAGTCTTATGCCCGGGGCACATGTACCTCATGTTTCAAAGGTCTGATTACGCAATGCCATTTAGAAAGTGGTCAAATGTAACATACGTTATATTTGGGATTACAATTTCTTAGTAAAGTAAATTCACTTATAAAATTATTGAACTGCAGTGATGTTTGTTTATTTTTTCCCTCTGTAACTCTGCCCTTATTGAACTGGCCGTATTCGGGACGACGCAACAGCTAAGGCCGGATCAACCACCGCCGTTGACGCTGCTCCAGTCTTGTCACCCTCTTTTCTTCCTGCAACAACGCTGCTAGAATGACATTCTGACGGTGTCGGGCTCTGGCATACTCCATACAGAGCCAGTCTCAGCAAGTGTGGGGCTCTGGCATACTCCATACAGAGCCGGGCCAGTCTCAGCAAGTGTGGTGGGTCAGGCATCCTGATATACTGCTCAACCCATTCAGATCATTATTTATACCCCGGACCAGGCACGTCAAGATTCCCAGTGTCTAAAGGATACCCGTGCGGCGCCTGCTCGATGCATGTCCAGACTATGGTTGGTCACCTTCCGATTGGTTTATTCGCACGGACAACGAACAGGAACAATCCGAGTAGTGATCGATTCCCGACAGAATCGGTCTTTCCAATGTCAAAAACAGCCGATGATCGTCCAGTTCCCGTCGGGTATCTCTCAATTTTGCCGATTTTCAGCCCGACCGGGCATCGTAAACTTATCTTTCATGGTAAAAATGGATATGTGACCTAGGCATAAGCAATATCAGTACTGAGTACGAATGTACTTTTGGATGTTTCAGAGCTCTACTATAAACACGTACGTAAATTTATGATGGGATTTTTCAACAAAACTCCGGGCTAGAAGAAGCATTTCTACAAAATCAGCAAACTCGAAACCGTGTCATTGGATTGTCTGCTTCGTCACTTGATAGTCTCATACCCGTGAAGATCTGGGTTAGAATTGATCTTCAGTAGCCTAACCCATGCTTGTCGTAAGAGCGACTAACGGGATCAGGTGGTCTGGCTCGCAGACTTGGTTGACACGTCATTGTATCCCATTTGGGTAGTTCGATGCTCATGCTGTTGATCACTGGATTTTATTGTCCAGACTCTATTATTTACAGACCAGCACCTTATAGTTATTGCGTTCAACAAAAACGACGACGTGTGGTTTAGAGTGAAAAACATATACCCAGAGCATATAGTGGTCCAACGCTCAACTCAGTCATCAACCAGCCCTCCTACAGTCGATCCAAGTTTTATAACCAGAACAAGGCCGTTTCATCATAGGCTTCTTGTCCACCGTGAACCAGTGAGACTGTAGGGCACGTGCTGCACGAAATTCATATGCACATATGAAACGTCAAACGACACATTGG